TAATAATAATAATAATAATAATAATAATAATAATAATAATAATAATAATAATAATAATGATAATGATGACGATGGTGGTGGTGATGATGATGATGATGATGATGATGATGATGATGATGATTTTGATAAAGCCACATAAAACAAATTAATATGATATCTTCATAACCAGAACGCTTCTCGCGCATGCGCGGATCCAGCAAGGGCCCAAATTAAAATGTTAATGCATATAATATAATATGCAAAAATTTGCGCTAATCACGTATCTATCATAAGAGTGTTGAAAAATTGTGGATCCGCCTCTGTTCGTGACGTACCGGTACATGAACGTCGTCCAATGTGTCTTGCTTCTGTCAAAAGGTGGAATTGTGTTTTTAATCATGTGTCTATAACATTGTAACTGCCTTCTTTAATTATTTTAGCTCCAATTCGTAATGTGTGATTTTACAGCTCCGTGTTTCTGACTCCGTCGACTCATCTCTCCAATGTCTACTAAATTTCCTTTGAAATATTTTAATTAAGTGTTGGCGAGTGTCCAAAACTCGCTATCATAAAAATGCTGCCTACATACATTTTGAATAATCTTATAATGAACAATTCACACGTTCACATTTTCCAAGTGTAACAAGTTGTATACCAGGTTTCAGTGTGAGTGTGCAAACATGTAAAAAATTTCCGAGATTTCGCCGGGCAGGGGTCTCTCTGAGATGTCTCAGAAGAAAAACAGGCCAACATTAAAACAGGTAAAAAAAGTACAAGTTTTCAAAAAACAAAAAACTGGAATAATTCTTCAAATTGTCTAAAAAGTGCTCGTAGTTTAGTATCTTTACTAATTCAGCTTCATCAAAACAAAAAAAAATGAATGAAATTTGAAATTTTTTTACTGTAGTTAAGTGTCTTGGTTTATTTATCAAATTCATCTACGAAAATAATAATCTTCTGGCCACGAAAATCGAACTCGGCCGTTATCGTTTTAACTAGATGACTATCAGGGGCGGATCCAGGCGTAGGGTGTGGTGGGGGGTCCCCGTTCTGCCACTAAATTTTTAAAATGTCAATGCAAATCAATGTAACAATGTGCTTCACTTACCTATTCTGAAACTGTTGTGCCCCCACCCCACCTTCCCGGTTGAAAAAATTCTGGATCCGCCCCTGTAGATAGGCCTACTAGTTTGATTCAGTTTAACATTTTACTTGAACAATTGCTATTCCGTGGCCCGAAACAATTGACTCAGAAATACCGGGATGGTGTCTGGTGGGGAAAAATAATTTTTTAATTTCATTTTTTTAATAAATTTATTATCTCATTATTTAAAAGGGTTACATGTAAAAGCATTGCTTTCAATAATTCATTACATCTCTTTTTCATATTTTTCCATTTGTTATAGGACGTTAATTTACTCTATTGTAATCTAAGCTTGAAGTTTAAAATGGTGTTCAGATTTGAAGCTTTATTAGTATCACGTTTTTGTTTTATTGTACATCATCTTGGAATTAGGGAACTACTGTATTTATTTTAAAATGAAAAAATAAATACTAGTACTGTATAGATATTATAGGCAAGCCTTCTCAGCATGGCCTAAGTAGATGGCGCTATATATGTTTACAAATGATTTTAAGAAAGTACGTTTTCACAACATACACAAGTTCACGTGCGTCTGGTGGTGGGTTTGTTGGCTTTTTCGTTGATCATGTTTTCAAGACAGAAAACAATGGTGATGAAAATGTGTTTCAACAAAATTGATGTGAACACCAAATTGTATGTGTCAGTTGGCTGTTCCAGGGCATTTGTCAGGTTTGTTTTTAAAAATTTTCCTAGGCCTTCTTGTCTCTAAAAGCTACCTAACTAAGCCATCCGCCACCGCTACTCTAGTCTAGCCTACTCTAGGTACAAGAGACTACAGTTTACTACTAACTGTACAACTTAGGCCGGCCTAGCTAGGCCCATCTAATACCATTTAGCTAGCCTAAGCCTTGTTAAGCCTTAATGAGCATATTTAGGATTGGCCCCGAGCTAGGCCTTGGTTGCTAGTTGACACTACTTTACTTAAATGAAAAAAAAAAAAAAAAAAAAAAACCAGTTACATTTTCTTCCCAATAATTTACTTAACACTGTAACAGGGATCCTAAGTATTCTTGCCTCGCTCTCCATCAAGCAAGCAACAATCTCCTGGAAAATATATCAATCTCTATGCTGCAAAATAAAGTTAAATATGTTAAGAAATCTCATTATTAAACCAGATCTCCCAAAAGGGATTTTCTTACAACTTGGGATGGTAATAATAATAATTGTCGACTTATATAGCGCATATTGTAGGGACCTCTATACGC